TGAATAGTTTCATTCTATTCAAAAAGAACACAAAAGAAAAATAACAAGAAGAGAAATTACAGATCCAAGATTTTATATTGGACTGTGTAGAAAAATGACTGAACCAAACAAACAGTGTGGAGAGGGAGAAAAGTCAAGGAATGACGTAGATGACGAATTTATTGCGTCAGACTAGAGTGCAGTCACGCCTCCGCCCTCGACCTTGAAAAGGCCACCAGTGAAAGAGCCAGTAAATCGTCTAGAGGGTGGCTTGAAAATTCACAAAATGGTCCATGTTCCTCCCAGTAACAATAAGAAGAATGGTGCCCTGAGAAAGTGTCGCGTGAGTGCTAAGCACAAGGTTAGAAAAGAAACAAGTATCATGTGTGCAGGCTGTGGTGTGGCTCTCTGCAAACTTTCATGTTTCAATGTTTATCACACGAAGAAAAACTAATAAAGAGGTATGGAAAGGCATTTATTGCATAAAATATTGTATTTTAATTAGTTCCTGAAAATTTCGTTTTTAAAAACCAATTTTTGTTGAAGTTGTTTAGGAAAAAGTAACTACATGCATTTTAGCGACATAAGGTTTAAAGGGCCTGCCAGGACAGGGGTGGGATTTAAATACCCTTCGCGCCAGTCAAAGAGGTAAACTACGTAATGTATAAAGGTGTCCACATGTGAGTTGGAACATGTAAGGAATTCCCTTCAGTGCTAATACAAGATTCAAAACATGTGTAAGGATCAATGTTTCAGACATAAAATGCACATAAACCCTTAAGCCAAGAAATGTTGATTCAAGGAAAATAATAAATTAGGCTAATGGAGCTTTGGCCGGAACCACAAAAAATGTACCTTGGCATGAGGGGAACCATAGCATGTGGGTCCCTTAAATTGGGCTTTCAGTGTAACACACTCACTTCCTACAACAGTACTGCTTTCTGCCATCATTCATTTCAGACGTATTACTATTTCATCTTATTGTTTAAATATGTTAGTATGAGCTGGCTTGGGAATGTAGCCACAGTTTATTGTTATCATGTCTATTGGAAATTAAGTTCCAAGATCCAAATGAGAGACTATGAACAGAATTTTGGTATTGACCTCTTGTTTAGAGAATGCTGCATCCTCATTTACAAATTCTTTTACAGGAACACCCACCCCACCATCACATATTCACATATAAATTGTGAAAGTCTTTTAATACAAATGGGGGCACGCAGTAGCGTAGTTGGTTGAGGGGCTATGCTACAAGCCAGAAGGTCATGGGTTCAAGTCCCGATGAGGTCATTGGATTTTTTTTCAGTTGACCTAACCCTTCCAGCCATACTATGGCCCTGGGGTCGGCTCAACCTCTAACAGAAATGAGTACCAGGAATTAATTAAACAATTTTCCTGGGGAGTAAAGCGCGGCCTGCACATAAGGCTGACAACCTTACCGCCATCTTTGAGCTGACTGTCTAGATAATGTGGGACCCTCAATGTCTGACAACCCTATGGGCCTTCACGGCTTGTTACAGGGATAGCTTTACTTTTTTTTTTAATACAAATGAGAGGAGTTTTCTAAAATATATGGGATTGTACTCTAGCCATTATAGTTTATTTGTTCAATTCAGCCTGGTAATTTATTTTAGGTGTATTGATCAAGCAGTGCTTGTGTGCAAAGATTTGGGAGACTACAGAGATGTGGCATCTTTGGCAGAGAGAGCCTGTAACTTGTACCAGCAACATGGTTCTCCTGATTCAGGTTCTGCATCATTGGACAAGGCAGCAAAGCTATTGGAATCGCAACGTCCTGATCAGGCACTCAGGCTATATCAGCGTGCTGCTGATGTAGTTTTAGTATGTATCATTTTTGCAGAAGTAGCTTAAAGTAAAATGTTCAGTCAGACAAAATATTGCATCTCATATTTCACCCTCTTCATAGATTAGACATCAGGCTGTCAGTTATTCATGCATAGTTTATTGATATTAGAAGCTGGCTCTGCACTTATTTAAAACAAATTGTATTGAATTTATTTAGGATTTATAAAGCCATGAGTTATATATATAATACATAGCCAAGGTTTTGTCCCTCCTATCTTTTTTGTTTGTTCCCACCAGTTTATTTTATGGTTTCCTTTATATTTAATGTGTTATCAGGGCTGTGGTAAGTTGGAGGAAAATGTGAATACCAAACCAGGTCCAGAAACTCAACCACAGTACATGCATATCACTTTAATGGCTGTAGCTGCCCTATATATGGGCAAAAGTAAGGGTAATTATCATAATTTGGGTGTCTTGTATTATGTTTGCAGTAGGAGAGAGGAAACCAAAAACTGACAGGAAAGTTATATTCTTATATACACTAGGTAAGATTGTGAAGATCTGTATTTAAACTAATGTACAACAAAATTGTGTATAGATTTTCACTTGTTTCCCCTTAAGATTACAGTTCATATTCTTACTTTACCTTAGTTCTAATCATATATCTGTTATTAATATGATATAAAAAGCAAAAAACAAAACACTATCGAAATATGAATGTAAATTTGTGGAAAATTGATCGCAACTTCACGTTGGTCCAGTGTAATTGTTGTTCTTAGCTGCACCTTTCAGGATATGCTGGCAGTTTCTTTTTCCAAGTATTACAAGGAACAGGATTAATATAGGATATCTTAAGTCAAAGTAGATAAGTTAATTTCAAATCTTATGATTTTATAATGAAAGAATTTAACAGATGAGGATTTTCTATTATGAGGAGGATCTCTGTACAACATCTAAACGGCTCTGAAAGACTGAGAACTCAAAAGAGATACATAGGAAGTAATAGGTTTGCTTTCTTATTCTGCGTGCACTGCAGTTCATGATGAACCTTGACCTCTGTCATGAGTGTTTGCCATTGGTCTTGATTCTGTGACTTCTGTCTCCAGTTTGTAATGCCCATTGTCTTCTGAACTTCTTCAACTGAATCCAGCCAGCTGATAGCATAATCTGCCTACTCATTGAGTGCCTGCTGATTTATGTGGAGTTAACTTCCTGCAGGGGTTCTGCTCCTGCATTCTAGGAAGGTGTCCCAGCCTTCTCAACCACCCTACTTTGATCACTTCCACTATATCTGGTTCATTATATAATTTATAAAGTTCTTGCTTTGGTAGAGTTAAATCTGCAGATGTTTTTTTGAAAATAGAAGTGTCAAATGTATGAGCTCAATGAAATCAAAACCCAGAGCATACAGATGAGTGAGAATAAATATGGGAATGAAGTTTTAAGTTTACATGGTGGTAAGGATTTAGGTTGACCACAATAAATATAGAAATGCATTAACAAGAGTTTTACATCTGCTCTGCTTGGAAGAAGGCACTAATCATTCTATTCTATAGCTGCTGAGATCCAGTGTGCCTTTTGCCTGAACCTCTTGAACTAAGGATTAGATTGAAGGAGCACATGAACTGTAAACGTAGAATTCATCTGGTGTTTCTTTTGGTTGAAGTTTATGGAAGGGATATGCTGTCAGCCACAGCATGCTACTCTTCATTTGACAGTGGTAACTGATGAACTAGGGGAACTAGGTATGTGGAGTTCTGTGTGGAGATAGACCATAAACATACCTTTAAATTAAAAGAAAATTGAAAGATTCATTACATAAACCATAAATAAATTGTCTATATGCTAACATTTGCAAGCATAGCAACAATGACTAATCACTAAAAGTGGGTAATGCTATATTTCTGCCAGTGTATGGATGAAGACACAATGCTGCTCATGTCACTGTAGTGTGTTTTAGTTTGTTATAGTACTTAGCAAGTTAGTTTGGAAAATATATGAGTGATTGTTGTTGTTTTTATCATTGTTACAGATCGAAGATAGTCAAAGACAAGGGGCTGAATTTACAAGTAAAATTGCACGTCTCATGGTTAAACTACAGATGTAAGTTGTCCTTAACTGTTTCACTTCCTACTCTGTAAATAGTATAGAGAAAGAGACTGTGTTCGAGGGAAAGTTAATTAAAAGGTTTTAATGGGAGAACACATTTTACGGGTCTTGAGGCAAAGATAATATTTTTTTTTAATTTCAGATGTCTTCTCATCTATACGTCAACCCCCCCATATGCATTCATGATGTAGTGCTTAATTAGTTAAGCAGAGGGACAAATTTTCCTTTATCTCCTCTAGTATCAAAGAGTTTTGTAACAATTATAAATATTTGTTGTGTGGCTAGGTTTCCAATGACTTTAGAAAATAGTTATGCTTCCTGGAAGTTAAAATAAAGTGATTGTTTCAATCTTTCCAAGGACACCAGCTGTGCTTACTGATGTTTTTTTGTTTTCCTCAGTTTTTCAAGCTCTCAGGCTATGACTGCTTCCTTCCAAATCTTTCCCATTTGTTATTCACTAATTCGACACTGTATAATCTAAGATACTGACACTTGTAAAATGGACCACAAACCATATAACATTTTATGGGCAAAGATTAGCCTTATAGTATCACATCTGTTAATCTATCCTTGTGTCTGTCCTTACCCATTAATATTGAATCAAGTGACAGATATTATGAAGTTCAGATCTGAACATCATGCCACTATAAATAACAGTATAGTCGGTGCATAAATATGTGACCAGTGTCAGAATCAGTATATTATAATAGTTAACGTAGTCATGACTCTGCCATTGTAAAAAGTAAAGTAAAGCTATCCCTGTAACAGGCCATGAAGGCCCCGTAGGGTTGTGAGATGTTGAAGGTCCCACATTTTCTAGACAGTCGGCTCAAAGGTGGCGGTAAGGTTGTCAGCCTTACGCGCCGGCCGCGCTTTACTCCCCATGAAAATTATTTATTTAATTCCTGGTACTCATTTCTGTTAGAGGCTGAGTGAACCCCAGGGCCATAGTGCGGTCGGAACTCTGCCATTGTAATTTAAATAAGTACATCTCACTGTAAATTTAAAATTACTCAGTGGCTATATATATATTGCTGTCAGGTTCCAGTTTGTAACTTGTGTTCTGTTTATGTACTTCACTTACTGCATTGCATTAAACTTTCTTACCTGTCAAGGCCAGATTGTGTTGGTTATGTGTTTTAGGTATGATGAGGCAGCTGATGCTCTTCGTAGAGAAATAGGGTTGCATCAGCAGTCTGAAAACATTTCCGCTATTGGTCGCCTGGCTGTTGCTTTGGTATTGGTACAGCTGGCACGTGGAGATACCGTTGCTGCAGAGAAGGCCTTCAAAGAATGGGGAAATTGCTGTGATGCCCCAGAGGTAAGCAGTAAAACTCTTTTACGTGCTCATTTTAAGCAGGAAGTCCATGATGCCAGAATTTCACAACATGATAATGTAACTGTATCCAGAACATTCTTCCGCAGCGTGGTTGTAACATAATCCCCAGTTTTGATGTTCCTTAGTCCTGTCTTTCATGGAGAATCTTGTTTAGCCATTGTCAGTAGCCTAAAACTGCAAGGAATCCTGTAACTTGTACACTCATGGAGCATATTAACAATTACAAGTCAGTAATTGTACAAGTTTATGAATTACTTTTGTGCGTAAGTTCCATGTCTAGATTCCCACTCTTCAGAAGTTATCAGACATAGCCTTTATATTTCACAGTAATGTCCTGTTGTAATTCTCCTCCTCCTCCTCATCATCTTTTTCCTTTTCTTCGCATTATCCCCTCATGGGTTTGCTGTCTCAAATTTCCACAGTAATCTCTTTTCCTAGTGCCCATATTTCAAACCATGATCTTCTTTATTGGACCTAATATGTGAGGAGTAGTCTTATGGGATATGAACCCACATGGTTTAGTAGAAGTTTAATGATGTTTTGGAGGAGCATACTTAATAGTCACTGCTGTGAAAAGCTCAGATCTAACTGGCTTAAAGTGTTTTCCAGTGATGTGTATGTCTTCTTGATTCCTTCCTGTTGGAGAGCATGGCGACACTTTTCAGTAACCTTGTGTTAATTTATTATGTTGTAAAACTTTGTTTTTTGTCTTTATATGAAGAGGTATCAGGTAAACAAACTAGGACGCTACATGGCTACTATGTGACTGTTTATTTCACTACAGTACACCAACTCACAGAGCGCAGCACTACTTACTTCCAATCAATCATACCAACATAACACAATCTGAATCTAAATTTCGTCCTGTTAACACCTTTCCACCTCCATTTGTTCTTACAGGCATACCATCACAATACTCTATTTTTTAGGTTTCTTCCCATTATATTTCATTTCTTACTATTCTCCCTGGTCTTCTGAAGGCAGTCCTTAAATAAATTTATGTACACCATTATTTTACTCCTCAATTTTTCAGCTGGTGATTTTGTTTCACCTTCATATAATACAAGGTGGTTCAAATATGACCGGGACTGATTTTTTTTTAAACAAAAATTGCCAAACACTTACTTGCACATGTCAGTCTTCAACATACTCCCCTCCGGAGTCAACACATTCTTTCCAACGTTCTGGAAGCATCCTGATGCCCTTTTCAAAAAAGTTTTGTGGTTGGCGGTGTAGCCACTCCCGAACATTCTGGATGACGGCGTTGTTGTCCACAAACCGCATGCCTTGCAAGTCTGATTTGAGCCTTCCGAACAGGTAGAAATCACTTGGTGCCAAATCGGGACTGTACGGCGGATGTGTCAGAAGGTTCCATTTCAATTTCCGTAGGGTTTCCATTGTTGTTTTGGCCGTATGGGGGTGTGCATTGTCTTGAAGGAAGGCTACCCGCTTTCCACCTCTCTTCCAATTGGATCGGATCTTTTCCTTCACGTCTGTTGCCAGGAGGTCTCAGTAATAAGCTGCCTTGACTGTTCTGGTATCTGTCAGAAAGTCTACATGGATAAACCCCTGCCAGTCCCAGAAGAACGTTGCCATCACTTTTCCTGCCGAACGGCTCCTCCGCGCTCTCTTGGGTTTGGGAGAACTGGTATGCCGCCACTCGCGTGATGATTGCTGGGACTCGGGAATGAAGTAGTGCACCCACGTTTCATCGGTGGTCACTATAGACTTAAAAAATGCATCACCTTCGTCTTCAAACTGCTGTAGGAGACGACTGGCAACTTGCATGCGAACCATTTTGTTCACGTCAGTCAAAGTGCATGGTACCCACCGTGCATTCACCTTGCGATAGTGCAGGTGATATTTCACGATGTCTTCTACATTACCAACACTGATGGACAGCATTGCTCCAAGTTCCTTGATAGTGATGCGCCTATTCTCACGAATAAGTGCGTCTGCACGATCAATGTTTGGCTTGGTGACGGATGTTCGCGGCTGACGATCATGCGGTTCATTCTCCACGCGCTCTCTGCCCTCTCTGAAGCACTTACACCACTCAGACACACAGGTCCATTAGAGACACTCTTCTCCATACTGTTCCTGGAGTCTGTGGTGAATTTCAGCAGACGGGACGTTTTCTCCAACGAGGAATTTGATCACAATGTGTTGTTCCACGCTCCGCGGTACCTTCTGTTCACTCATCACTCTAGCAACTTCCAGACAGGACTGAACAGGTTCTAACCCTAACAGGAGGGAGGGTGGAGATTGTGGCTTCACTCTTTCAAGGTCGCACAGCTGCTGCGCAGTGCGGCTTGTTTACGAAAAAATCAGTCCCGGTCATATTTGAACCACCTAGTAGAATACTTTTAATGCTGTGAAATGTATTTTTCTTAGTTTCCATGGGTATGTTTTTATTGTGTTTGTCATTTTTAATAACTTATTTTATATGAAACAGATGTTTAGTAAAAAATCTATAGATACAGTTATGATCCAGCTGCATGCATGTCCCATACTTAACTGGAATCATTCACAACTGAAGATAAAAATACTTTATGCAGTCAGTGTATTTTTCAACACAACACAAAAGTATGAATACAATAAAAGGTGCTTATTTTTCAACAATCTAATACTACAAAAAATTTCAGGAACTTACATTACACAGCACTAGTGTTGTACCCATCTCAAAAGTTTGCATGACTGCCATATGGATATTATTCATGGCAGAATTAAAGTGCATGAAGTAGGGGTGACTAAAGATATTACGTTCTTACCAAGTTTAATTCATTCAATAGATACTGGGGAGATTGACAAACAAGCACACAGACCCAGACCTGAACATGATGGTACTTCATTTTAGTTTTGGACTTAACCACATAAAATGAGTCAAATTATCAAAAAGATATTTCCAGTAAAAATTACTTTCTATATATAGTTTATTTAACAACAATAAAGAAAACCACAAAAACCTCTGCCAGAATAGCTATTATCATAGCCAAGATTAGAACTGGGCACAACTCAGAAGAATTATTGCTTAAGTCAAATTTCTCAGTGAAAAGTTACAAATAATGAGATCAATAATTATTGATCTCATTATTTGTATCATATGAAAAAGATGAATGTTATAAATTATAATTTATAACATTCATCTTTTTCATATGATACATATTTTTTTAAATGTATGTAATTTTATATTACCATGAAGAAAATGCAATTTTATTCTTTTGCTGTTTTCCATTTTAAGTAACTACCAGGATGAGATTTGATGTAACCTTTCCATCTGTTGGATTGTGGCTGATACATGCAACTTGTTCTGCTAACAGGTACAGACTCTGGAGATGTTGTTACAAGCTTTTGATGAGGAGGATCCACAGGCAGCCCGGCAGGCCCTCAATAACCCTTTCATCAAGCATATGGATGTTGAATATGCCAGATTAGCTAGGGACTTGCCATTGCCTGAAGGTGTGGTGCCTGTATCCAAGCCATCTGTCCGACAAAATGCTGCTCCATCATATGTGTCACCCAAAGCAGTTTCTGCAGCTACCAGTGCTGAGGTAAGTGATCACATTTTGAAGGTGATCCTTTTGGATGCCAGAGATTCTGACTCGAATGGTAGCAGGCTATGCAGGTTCTAACTCACAATAAAGTAGACTTTCTTTGGCTGAAGTTTTAAGCCTCTTAACTCATGTATGTTATACTTTCTCAAGCTCTGTTTGTGCCCAAAGGGGTTGGGGGGAGGATGGTGGTGAAAGAAAATTTACCAGTTTGTCCAGAAAAGTGAAGATTGGTAAAGCACCACATATTTTAAAGCAAGCAGTAATGCCTAAGTTATGAAATATTGCAAAACAGTGTGGTAGATATTACAGTGCTTTATATTTTAAATCCTGTTTTGTATCTTGTCTGGGACAGTTTCTACTGATTATGTTTTCTCAATCCTGTCACTGAATAGCATGTAGAACCAGTATAGTTCTCTCCTATTTGCAGTTATTGATATACTCGTAAACATTTTTGAAGCTCATGACTACAGAGGGGTCAAAAAAATGTACTCACTCTTTGATAGTCAATATCTTTGGAACAAAATGACATGTAGTTACAATTCTTGCGTGGAGAGAGAGAGAGACATTGTATGTGTTCGAAGTGACCACCATCAGTGGCTAAATAGCGTCGATGCCGCCGAACTGCTGAGCGAACTATGGCTGTCAGTGTGCCTGGTGTGATGGCTGCACATGATGCTTCGATGGTTTCTCGTAGCGCGTTCAGTGTAGCTGGCTTTTGTCGATAAACTTCATCCTTCAAGGTTCCCCATAGGTAGAAGTCAAGAGATGTTAGGTCTGGAGACCATCGTGGGTACTCAGTAGCACTTCTTCGACCTATCCATCGTACAGGTAGAGTGTCATCCAAGTATTCCCTGATATCTCGATGGTAGTGAGGTGGAGCACCATCTTGTTGTAGGTAAAATCTCTCATCTCCAAACAGCTCTCAGATGGCAGGGAAAATCGATGTCTGAAGCATATCAAGATACACCTGACCAGTGTTGCAACACCACAGCACTGGAAGCTGGACTTGTTGCTATCCGTGGTCACCCAGATCTTTGCTTATGCACATCATGAACAGTACCATCAGCTTCAAATTTATCCCGAATACGGGCAGTTGTTCGACGTGTTGGTGTTCCAACGAGTTCCAAACTCATTCTGCCATTGTCGTACCTCTTTAATGTTTTCGTACTTCCAGTACCACTTCAATACAGCCTTGCGTTGCTCAAAGAAAACCTTTCAGCCATTGTTGCTGCTGTCTTCTGCTCGTAGCACACACGCGGCACAACACTCACATGACTCATGTAACCTTTGCCATTTGTTGAGAAAACATTACACTACACGACCACACAAGAACTGTAACTACATTTCATTTTGTTCCAAAGATATTGACTATGAAAGAGAGAGTACTTTTTTTGGACCCCCCCATATATATAAGGTCAACAGTTGAAACATTTTTGTTGAATGTAATGATACAAATCAGAGATTTCCTTTTGGAATGCAGGAAGGAAGAAAATCAGCTACAGGGGAATCAAATGAAACCAAATCTCTTCATAGTGATGATGAATATGAAGGTGGTCTATGCTGAAAAATAAATCGTGTTTCCTTCGTGAGTATATAGTTACTGCCATTTTAGCTAACTTTTTTCATGCTTTCTTCCTTTATTTACCTTTGTTTCTTGCACCCATCGTACATTTATATTTCATTAGTCCTAGACAAATGCCATGCCACCAGTTTTTTTCCTGACTGGCCCTACTGTATCCCCTTTATGTGATATAACCTCATAAGTTGATAAATTAGCCCTGTGTCTAACAGGTATTTTGTGAAATATTTTCTTTTCTTCTTTTTTACCATCTCCAGTGTTTTGTCTGCACATTAATATTCTGAACTTGCAGCCATTGACAATAGCTCTCAGTCCCAAGTCCACCAGTAGCAGCATTACATAAGCATTAAAACTAGCTGCTCATTATAACAGACAAAGCAGGAGGAAATGGCATTACAAATGAAGGCTCTGGCTAGATTAGTAATGTCCTCTGAAAACTGTGAAACCAGTGTATTCCAATTTTCTTTTACTTGTATATGTTCTTTACACAAAGTACATGAAATGAAAAGCATAATTGGGAGGTCGTGCCTTGTCTGTCCATGTGCCTGCATGTTTTATCTCTGGAATTACTCAACAAATTTAGATGACTTTTTGTATTGGGAGGTGGCAAATTTAGTTTTCATCAGTACTGGTAAGATGGGAGCTGGGATAGCACAGTCAGTCTTGTGACTGACTGTGGCCTGGATTGCCGAGAGGTTGGAGTTTGAATCTCAGTAGGAGCAAGATTTGTTTACTCTCCACATTGTCCAGACCTGTTATAGGGTCCATCCAGCCTCATATCCAATGGGTACCAGGGGCAAAGCAGCTGGAGCATAAAGTTGACCACTCACCTCCAGCTAGAGCCGAGGTCAAGAATACATGGATCTATACATCTGCTCCACAATACGTTTTCATGACATTGTGCTTAATTAGTTAAGCAAAAGGATAATTTTACCTTCACCTTTATTGGTCATACACTTTATTCACTACTACAATACTTTGTATGAAGCTCAAATTAAAAACACTTAATAAAATTAATTTATGCTTGGTATAAAATATAGAATTAAGGTCTATGACATTTATTTGAAACATTTTTGAAGATCATGATTGTTACTGTGATTCAATAGATATAGAAGACTTAAGGTTTATCATTGTATCAATGGTGATAGAATACAGCAACCAAAAGGTAAATAAAGAAGACTGTTAAACTGAATGAGCTGAACCTATTTCTGAGACCCCCAATGTTGTAATTAAGAAATAAATATTAACTGTCCTGCAACAAGATTTATGTCAGCAATAAATGAATACTGAGCTCTGCAGTGTCCTTAAAATTGCAAAGAACATACAAAATAGTGTATTCCAAATTAGAATATGCCTTTCCATTTTGTGTTTAGAAAGTTTCAGATTGAATCTTGTAGACTGTAGGGAATGGAAGTCACTGCCCTGTACCTATTGTGTCATGTTTCTTAATATTATGTTCTCTTTTTCAGGAATCAAGATGTATATATGACATGGCATTGCTAGATCTACGGTAGTAATGTGATGTGTGTGCATTTTTTCTCATCAGTAATAGAATGTACAAGTTGTTCACAGAAGAATGGCTCTATTGTTTTTCCATCTATTAAGGCATTTCTGTATCTTTGTCAGTCTACATACCCTTGATCTCAGAATGAGACATCTTTTCAGTCAGGGTTTAATTTTTATCTGAAACTAGGCCCATGTGTAATCTGGTAATATATACACAACAAGATACTCATACACAGACTTTCCATTTTAAACAAACTTTATTTATTCCATGTCCAGAAAAGTTATCAAGAAATTCTTTTGTGCCCTTTTAATCTATGTTTAACACTGTATGAAATGTATCTTGTGTGTCCCTGGTTCAGAACCACAGATCCTTATCATGTATACCATCCATTTGAAATTTGTGTCTTTATGTGGAATTGGAGTATTGTTTTATTTTTGATAGTTCATAGTGACATAATGTAACAAATCTGGATTAATTTGAGATTTTACAGTAGCAAAAGGCCAAACTTGTTATGAAGCCCAACGTAGAATTCGGCACAGAAAGTTTGTGTTGTACCAAAGAATGAGATTGTTATGCAGCAGAATGGTATGGTGTTTTCAGTACCAGATTCCAAACAGTATTGCTGGGCCACCACATGTTTTAGTGCCAGACTGCAAAGAACTGTTTTATAAATTCAGTCTGTACATACGAGGTGTGTTCAAAAAATGATGGGAATTTCCGTATTTTGGAAAAAATATTTATTCATTCGTCTACATTAATGTTGTCGCCTTCAAAATAGTCCCCATTCGATATTATGCACTTACNTTTTCAGTTTTTATGGTGAGGTGGGGTGTCTCTGAAAAGTTGAATTTTTACTCCACATTGTTGTGGCCAATTGCATGAGAAAAACATCACACTGTTACTGAAAAGAGCAGATTTCAGATAAAACAAGTGGGTTACCATTACTTGGGCAGGTACACTGTAGTGTAGTGTAGTGTAGTGTAGTGAAGTAAAGTAATAGCACTTCCTTTAAGTACTATAGCTATGTGTGAGATGAGAATGGCATCTGAAATGTCTGCAGACATAAAATTAACACAATTCCATGAAAAAGATATGTACTTAACCATGGCTTCAGAGGCCTCTGAAATAATCCTATGAGAATAATGAAATAAATGGATTCTTCTACTTTTTCTGTTGGATTTATGTAATATAATAGAAACATTTCTAGTCATTATGTACACAGATTTCAAATGGATTTTAATTGCTATCTTAATATATAGCATAAATTCAGGTGTATCCCTTTTTTATGGGCAGTGCAGTAGTTTTATCTGCTTTCACAGATTAATGAATGTTGCTAATGTAAATAGATGTATGCTTGAAAATAAATCCACACAATAAAGCATCCTATCTCTCATGTACACAGTAGCAAAAATACTTGCCTGTTTTCCCTCCTCCAAATGAACAGTCGGGTAATATGATCTCTCTAAAAATGTATATTATAGTTAAGTATTTGTTGATAGCAACAAAAAAGAGTAATCTCTAATCAAAGAATATAAGCAAAATTCTGTTTATTGCAGAAATTCTTATTGCCTGTTTTGTAATGCAAAAACTAGAATAAATGTTCATGTTAACCCATCTATCTACCATAGAGCTTTGTAACATGTATTTATTTACACCGTGTATATTGAGAGAATTACAACAGTAGATTCTCACATTATTTGGCTAAATTTTGAAATACCAATTCAATGTCTTTGTTAACATATAAAACTAAATTTTCCCAATAATACTAAAATGCATTCCCAGGTTGTTTTCTGTACTATAATGGTATTATATAACAGCAGAGGTACAGGAGATTCTTATTCAGACCAACATTTTTCACGATAACCTTTGAGAAGTACTCTGTGAAGATGCAAAAGGTTGTGGCATGAATGTAAAAAGGTATGAGATTGATTTGTACTTGAATACATTCATAGTTTCAGATATCTAAAATACCCTGTTATCCACTGAATTATGACTGCCTTCAGTTAATTTTAATGATTTTTAATGATTAGATTTACTTTTAAAGTAGCTTTTATGGTTAATAACGGGCTCTGCTAAATAGGATTTTTATTCATTCTTGACAAAATAAAAACAGAATGCCTTATGTGGAGATTACATTTGTCCATGGCCTAATATGGTATCAGTACCTAAACTGTTGGACATATATTCTTAAAATCTGATATGGGAGACTTCACTGAAAGTTTCAGGCAATTCAGATTTTCTGTCATGTTAATTTTCCATGAACTGTTTCACAGATATTGTTCTAATTCATTGTTAAAGACTTCCACTAAAAGGTGTCAGGCAATCAGTTTACAGCCCTGTTGATCCATAACAAAGCCTAGTTTACACGAGGCCATAAATGGAATTTTCCATTATCACAAAACCCTACCACAGATTATGTTGACGTTTGATATGGAAGACTTTCACTGAGCTACATTTCATTCCAATTTTTAAGCTAGCTTTGAAGAATGCTGTTGGTAGTTATGTGTACTATATTATGGTACCCTTTCAAATCTTGTTTAAAGTTATTTTAGAGAATAGAGTTGAACATATTACAGAAAGAGAGCAGTAATAATAACTGTTGACTCTGTTGCTACAATATTTGACTGAAGTCGAACAAGGATCGATTACCCCACAGAGTGACATTTGAGTTTAGTCCACATCATCATTCAACTTCATTCAATGGATTATGAAAATGGTGAGAAAATAATACACAGAAGGAAGATTAATGTATGAAGTATCAGTGAAGGAACTTACAAAACCAAGAGCATTATTATGTTACTGTCAACCTATTGCTATCTGCAGCTCTTGACATCAGTTTCATGATATGGATTATTTTGTTGCCCAAAGCATGTTAGTTTTTAGATGTTCTGTTAGTGCTGTAAGGCTGCTTAATATATCACACTGTTTTAAAAACTTATATTGGAAATTTCTGAAGAATCACAGAGTTTTTTAATATACAGGATGTCTACAAAAGGTCTGACACATTTTGATCTTTTAGAAACAGGAAGTGTCCTCAGTAAAAAGAGCTCTGGACGTCGCAGCACAAGCAATGATGATGTTGAGCGTGTCCGAGAAGCATTTCCACATAGTCCCAGGAAATCTTCGAGAGCAGCGGCAAGAGAATTGAATATGCCAGTTTCAACAGTACACAAGGTTCTACGGGAGAAATTATGGCTATATGCTTATAAGATGCAACTTGTGCAAGCTACTGAACCACATGATAAGTCTAAGAGAACGGATTTTGCAACAGATATGTTACGAAGAATAGAGGATGATGAAAGATTTCTTACAACTATATTGTTCTCTGATGAAGCTTGCTTCCACATTTCTGGAACAGTCAATCGCCATAACGTACACATTTGGGGATCAGAGAACCCTCATGAATACCGTGAAATGGCAAGAGACTCCCCAAAAGTGAATGTGTGGTGTGCTCTTATGCGTGATCCGAGTCACTGGGCATTTTCTTTTCATGGAAAAGACAGTCACATCAGTCATTTACCTAGACATGTTGCAGAATTTTGTATTCCCACAAATTGAAGCTCTTCAGCCCAAAATCATTTTCCAACAAGATGGTGCAGCACGTCATTGGAGCACCATAGTTTGTGATGATTTGGACAAACATTTTCCAAGAAGATGGATTGGACAAGGTGGTCAAATTTCTTGGCCCCCAAGATCGCCTGACATAACCCCACTGGACTTTTTCCTCTGGGGATATGTCAAAGACATTGTTTATAAGACGCAGGTGAGAGACATTGATCAATTAAAAACCAGAGTAAGAGACGTAATAACCACTGTGGATGTCAGTATGCTTGCCTGAACCTGGCAAGAAATCGAATATCGTCTTGATATTTTACTTGCAACAAATGGAGCACGTGTACAACTTTATTGACAATAGACACAAAACTTTTGAGTTTCTCAATCCAACAATGTAATCAGCTTATTTCTATCTTTGTTATTTTCCGAATTATTAAAGATCAAAATGCTTCAGACCTTTTGTAGACACCATGTATATTACTTACGCAATCTTAGATAGGTTGATAATCAGCAGATGATTAGTAGTATGAGAGAAAGTAGGTACCAGCATAGTTCAGTCACACAGTTTTGCACCCTGTGTGAGAATTACAGTACAGCTGTTCTGCTTTAGTATACATATGAGTATGTACCACAGATTTGCACATTATACTCGTATGTAACAAATGTACAATCTCCTAAGAGTATAGTATGATTAACTCATTCACTGTCTCAAATTAAGTACTGTTAGTTCCTCGGAACTCTAGCCATGGTATAGGGGTCATACCATCTCTTAT